TGAAATCGTACACCGATCTCTAAAAGGAAGTGGTCGAAGTCGTCAGAGACTGAAAGCATAAAGTCTTCGCCGTTGATCAATCCCTTTGTGGGATGCGGCACGCATTCTACTTCCATTCAGAATCGTAGTGGCTTATTGAATGCGATGTGGCCTATACAATGACTTGCGCGGGCGCCGATTGTTCTTATCTTCCCGGACGAATCTAGGTACCAAGTTACCGTCTCTGAGGGGTAGGTGGCTTGGTTGGCCTAGGCCTGGGATTCAAACCCAGGACCGCGCCAGACACTTCTCATTGCACCACCTCCGCCTCAGAGACCTGAATAAGGCCTGAGATTTGCACGAATCTCGGAGAATGAGTTCCAGTGCGATGGGATCAAGAGATCAGGGTCGAAGAGTGAAAGACTGGGGAGGCCAGCGAAAGGCATCTACGGAATGCACGCTACGCGCCATGTTTATAAATATAAAACCAATGGTCCATCTTTTCCTTTCCAAGAAAGGTTGAGCAACTTATAGGGATGGCCTTCGGACATAGAGTCATCGCTATCCAGTGCAGAGCTGCGAAAGTGGGGCATGCTTGAGGGTCGCGGACAGGACCATTTGTTCGGACTTGACTGTGTAATGTCTTTGACACAATGGCGACATCGCGGCATGCGCCGTTGTGGAGATGCAGTATGAGCAGGTGATTCTTCTAACAATTTTATGCTTTGTGGTACTCCGTGATCCTGCAGATGCCGCCTCTAGTGAGTTCCTTACCCGGGTGAAGCACTGAGGTGGATTTCTGAGGCGGGAAAATATGGAATGGTACTTCATTTGCAGTTCCTAATGTTTCTTTGCAGCCTCTGTGAGATGGTTTGCGATCTGGAAGGAAACACGCTCAAGAACCTCAGCACCAAAACAACTAGAAGCCATTTGTGCCCTATTCCAAAGCAGCCGATACAACAGGGATTTCGATAATATTTGCAATCAGTTCTAATCTTCTTAGCGTCTCTTTTGGATCAGTAATGAGACAATTATTTTGTAATTCAGAAAGCGACTACTTTCATGTGGGTGACGGTTGTAGGCTCCCCGGGCTTTCCGGAATCGTCTGATAGCCAATTACCCCCCCCCCCCCTCCACCCAATCTCTATGTGAAAATAAAGCTTACCAAAAGCTTTGAAAATAATAAATAGGGAAAATTTTTTACAGGAAGGTTCCGAGAGCTCTTCATTCTGTTCTCACAAAAAGCAAACGCCTTCTCAAGGGGTTTTGCAATACTGTAACAGTTTAAAAAAGAAATATACAAAAAAACAAACCGAGTAGAGGCTCCAGGATGTGGCCTCCCATAAAACCATGGCAATGCATCTACTAAAGCGGCTATGCTAAGAACAAAGAATACTGAGCGCATTCCCTGAATAATGACGGTGTACAAGGAAATAAAACTAAATAGCTCGGGAATATATGAATATAGATTTGGAAATGAATTGGATCAATAGAACGCGAGAAGTAGCAAAGTTGACCGCCCTTTCCTCTTAATGACCTAACAGCTGCTTTACATTTTGGTAGTCGCCTGCATTAGCAGTCTTTGAGCCGAAAGAGCCTCCCTCACGTCTTCAAGCTGAAACTGCCTCTCTCATCATACAGAGGAATCTGATAAGCAATATCTCTCAAAAGATCAATTTTCTCCCACGGAATTGTTGTTTCTTTAGAGCTTAAGCTACCTAGGAAACACCTTGCCTAGAGGGAATAGTGGTGTTCAGTTTGAATGAGGGAGGTCGTAGGTGTTAGTGACCCCATAGCAAAGAAAAAAGCAAAGGAATTCGTCGAGAACCCCCTAAATGGAGACAGTCCCCTTGTCCTCCCCGGCCCCTTTCGTAGTTTCACAGTTCG